CATTATAGCACGGCAAACTAACGTTTCATTTCTGAAAACAAAATCAATCCTTACGTAAATTATCGAAATATATAAGAAAAACACTTTTTGAATTTAGAAAAACACTTACCATTGAAAGCAATCGATAATCTTATGGATTATCAAGTTAAAAATTTAGATTAACAAATTCCCATCTTGCAGGTGAAAATTTCGTCGTGAAGTGAGTGAAGTGACATTAGTTTTTTCTTAAATTCGTTTTCTCTTTCCGGGTGGGCAAAGAAAACAACGCCCATACGGCCTACTGCTTGATAAAGGCAGAGTCATACTTATTCAAAAGCGCATAGATTAACGAAAATGGGCGAGAGATAAAAACGAGCAGGGAGAGACAACCTAAAAAGTCTTCTATATCGCTCTTCGAACGAAGGAGATTCATGTAACGTTTTTAACACGTTACAGCATTCTTACAAAATTTGGCAATATGTCTATACCTCAGTCACTTAAGATACTGCTTGACTGGGGGTATGTAGGGTCGTAATTCGAAACGCCAGCTGTTGAGGTCGACTCTCAGGTAATACTGGGCATGAAAATGTGATAGAAACTGTCTTTGTCGGCTCCAATTTATTTTCACCATTATCAGTCCTTATTCTTCTCATAAAACGTCGAATGATTACGATATTTTTTGTAGAAGTCAATGCAGAGTATATTTGTTCATTCGATAATTCTGTGGGCACATGAGTCATGACACCTGTGACTTCGCTAGCTACTGCCGGAATATATGCCGACAGGTTGTATGCTTCCAAGAATTTTCTATTCTGTAATGCCGCGTTAGCCAGACCAGAACGTTCAAATACCACACCGATATTATATTTGTTCACTCTTCGCAACTGTTTTACTCCTTTGTTATATCGCTTCAAGCAGTTTGCTAATCCTATCATGTCTCGATTACCAATAGGCTGATCACATTTTGTACTCTCGATGAATACCTCATATTCGAAACTTCCGCCTTGTTCTGGGTAAAATCGAACGTAATTAGGGATTCGGAAATCTTTATATTTGTTTACGCTTTCTTTTTTCTCTTCTAGAGACTGTATGGAGGAGACGTCGCTAAAGTTAGAATCTTCAGAGCCATCTCCATCCACGACGCCTTGTTCATCTAATTGTTTTTTCCTTTTTCTACTCTTCCTATTCCTCATTTTTTTTTAATATACTATGTACACACTTATTATTAAATACTATTCAAAACAGTATTTACAATAAATATATACAAAATTAATAAATTTAGTTTTATTCCTTAAAAAAGACCGCCAAGCTCGTCAAACGTTCCCGCGCTTTTTCACTCCTCAACAATTTTTTTTTGTTGAAGTTCTCCCGTTTTAGGGAAGGCAAAGGGAACAATGCCCATACAGCCTAGTCTTTAACTAAATTTATCTTCTTTTTATTTTTACATTAGAATGTCGGTGTGACGCATTCTAATGTTTCTTGGAGTATTTGGCACGAAATGTATCGAGTTAGCTTTTTCGATAAGCTTCTGTGAGGTAGTCAACACTACAATAAAATTCTCACGTCCACTTGACCGGAATAGCGTATATTTTAATGATTCCGCTAATTCTTCAGTTACGCAGACAGTTGTTACACAAAACCACACCAATTTTATTTCACAATATCCACTATGAGCGAATTTAAGAATAATTTAATTATGACGCCAACCGCACTCGATGAAATCCCGCCAAAAAAGCCCTCACTCCCCAACAATTTTGATAACATCTGACAGCTGACGTATTTAAGTTTTATTTTTAAAAACTAATTGGTAAAAGGAAATTGATTTTACTGCCAAATGTTTTAAACATTTTATTGAATCATTTTTTTTATTTCTACCAAAATAAAAAAGCAAGGGGAAAAAGTTACATTGCTTTTTTGGCATATGTACATTACAAATCAGGTACCTACTGAAATTATTTAAATCTTCCAAAATCAGATTATTTACTAGGAGAACGATTCGAAGCTTTACATAATATAGACCCTTTAAAGATACTCAAAGTAAAGACCATAGTATTTATTCCATCTTTCTTTGATAATGATAAATTATCATATTTTACCATTATTTGGCAGTACAATTTTAGTTATAAGTTGTTTAGAAAAACAGTAACTGCTAGTAACTAGAGAAAGAAAAAGATGGATTTCAGCATTATCATAACTTTACGATTAAGGCACAAGTCCGAACTGAACCGCAGACCGCAGCTGCAGACTGCAGGCGACACTACTACATAGTTTATATGAATCTCTATAAAATTGATTCCGAGCGCTGCGACATTGCGGCTTGCAGCCGCGGCGCGCAGCCTGCGGCTGCGGCATGCAGCGACCGCAGACTGCAGTTCCAGTGGTGTCGCCAACCGCAAAGAGTTCACACCAAAGATTTGAATAGATATGCCCTTTTTTTGTTTTGTTTTAGTTTGACCGCACCGAAATCTGTCAATACTACTCCAATTCCCATTTTTTGCAAAAAAAGTATTATTATACCGTCGTGTGCCTTCTGAAAGTGCTCTAACAATTCGAGAAATACAAATAAAGCTAATGGTGTAACATTCCACACGTAAGTTTTTACACTTCATTTTTATTAATTTTATTTTACAAAGTCAAATTGATTTTTATTTAAACGGCAATACTTCCGAAACTTTTTCTCTGCACCAATTATATGTTTTTTAATCAGATTAGAATAAGTTCCTTCTTCGGTTCGACTTTTAAATAAAAGATCAGATGCTTTCCTTTTTTTTGGACATAATATAGTACCAACTAATCTTCATCAGCTTCCTCTTCTAACAAAAGATACATTAGTAATTTAGGTATCGGTAGCGTTGTCCCAGATTCTGCCTCGCACGAAGGTATTGGAGTATCTAAGGCATGGTTATATGCATTGTGCAGCTGCGGCATGTCGCCGCGTTGGGAATAGAAGTTGCCGCGACCGCAGGTAGCACTGCGGTCAGCCGCAGTGTCGCCTACGGTTGCAGTCTGCAGGCAGCTCATTGCGGAATTGTACCTTTGTTTTAGTTTAGTGTTTCGCGTTTAGTATTTATCATTTGCTACTGTATTGTATTCGCCCAAGTTGATGTTCGGCAAAATAAAAACCCAACTAGTGGCCGCCCGCAACTTCATCCGCGTTAACTTTAGTTTTTTGAAAATCCCTCAATAACCTAACACTTTTCCGTTACACAGTACGAATAGTTTTTATTTCTACCTAATACAGGAGCTTTCACTGTTAAATGCAGTTCTGTGTGAAATGTTGTCATAGATTTTATTATTATGTTGAATTTCATGATATCCTAATCCATTAGATTTGCTACCGAACTGCGAAATGATTACAGGAGGATAATGTTCTAGTAAAAATAAAATTAAAACACAAACTTTTATTAGTCATTTTAATAAAAAAAAACCATGACACATTGAATGATGGGACTAGTTAATAAAAAGTTATAGAATTTATCTCTTTGTATGAACATCTTCACCTTATTATAGCGTGTAAGTATTAGTGATACTTTATTCCAATTTCTAATCAAGGAGATAATTACTATAAATACTACTAATACTAATACAGAACATATTTAGCCGTATTTCAAACCGGCTAGTTGCTTTGCAAACCGGATTCGTTCTGTATTACATCGATGAGCCGTATTATCGTTACGATAAATTTTACAATACGATGGTCGAGTTTTTAAATTTCAATGGTGTCGATTCTGGCATGATTCTCTGAACTTAAAATTAAATTAAAAGTCAGTCTCTCCTTTTCATTCCTTATAGAAAATGACAAGGAACAATTGAGGAGCTGGCGAACGAAACGGTATAATTACATAAAATTAAATTTTACAGGAGCTGTATAAACTAAATGACATACCTACAGTAAGCTTTTGGCATGGTTTCATAAATTTTGTAATTTTAACACTCTTTTAGGCGGTTTTGATTGAAAATTATTTGAGATTCAATTTCAGCGGGCCCGAAAAACCTCCGAACTGTAAAAAAATGTAGTTTGACTAGATGCGTATTATGCGTTTTGTTCGCCAGCTCCTCATCATTGACAATTTACAGTTACACTGTTGTCAAATTTAAGTTTGGGTTTAGAGAATCATGCCAGAATCAGCACCATTGCAGTCGATACAATAGACATCGCTGAAAGTATTGACAATTGGAACTTATTGAAACTACCACGGCTAGGAACTCACCAAATTACATTATGGCTAGCCGAAATGAAGAACAAACGTTAATTGTAGCCGTAATGCAAATTGGCTTATTGTCGGTCGGACGTTTTGAAAGCGGTTTCGTTTTAAATTTAGCTTTCCGCAATGTAATACGGAGATATCTACAATCTACTCGCGACACACATACATAAATGAAAACTAAATACTTCTTACATCTAGCATTTAATTTCATTAATCATTATTACATAACAAATTAATCAATCAAATATAAATACAAGTTTATTAATATAACATTAATAGAACTATAAAATAACAAAAAATATAGACCTACGTATGGCTTTGGAAACAACAACTGCAAGGTCAAATGGAATGTTAATGGCTTTAGAACCAACAATTCTAGTCGGACCAGGCAGCAGACGAGACTCGAACCCGCGCCATTCGCTATCCGGGCGCATGCACTGACCAATTATGTGGTCCGAAAAAAGCTGGTCCGCGTGGAATTTTTTTCTAGTAATATTTTCTTTAGATTGAAACATTAAACAGTTAAATGCTTAAAAATAAATTATAACAACAATTCCAATGTCAAATGGAATGTTAAAAATAACTATTATAATAATACAAACAGTTCTCAAAGGCTCTAAGTTTTTTCAAATCTCTGAGCAACTGTGTTGCCATAATCTTACTAAGATGTTGCTACGTTAAAATTTGTTAAATAATATTAGCTCAGGCATTTACGAGAAAATTTTTAGCGCTGATGCGATACGAATAAGGGGAAATATATCACTTAAACTACGAATGAAAATTAATGATTTTAAACGCAAATGATCTATTGAATTATTTCTTGTCTATGATTTCGAAGGTAGTGTTGTTGTCTTGCAGCTTCTTTATTAGACTGGTATTAGAGAATGCGGCTCCTGTTGTAAGAACTCCTCCGCTAAAAAGAAATTGTGATTTTATTAGACAAAAATTGTACTATCCTCAAACTTATTATTTGCAAAGCGTGAAGTTTAGTTCATAAACAGCGTACTTGTAACAAATTGGTTTACATTTAGGGGTAGCAATAATTTCATTTGAATGTATATTGTTAATATATTAACGAAAATAAAGTTATAAAAGAGATGGACAGGTTCAAAAAATCGAAAATTAAATTATAAAACAATTTTATCCAATACACTTCCAAAAAAAAAATAAGGGGCTGACTGATGTTGGTTGGGCATCGTATATACGGAGTGTTAACCTCCGAATTTCTCTTGCGCGATGTAAGCTTCCATACGTTGTAAGCGCAGCGCCGGCAGCGCCATCTCTCGAGGAGGCGAGTGAGTATTTCCTCCATGTTAGTTATATGTGGGCCATATAGGTGTCGCCGCCACAGGGCAAACTTAAAACTTTTTACAAGTGTTTCAGAGTTTATATAAGAGTGTTTGAGAATTTCCTGTGAAAGTAGACAATTTTACTTACGTCGTGGGCATCTTGTCCTTCTCTGTTAAGATCGTGTTGGCACACATCAAAAGGGCCAACGTAGTGAATCCATAGCCGGGGTCCAAGGCTGATATCTGTGCATAATATTTACCATAAAAATTGATAGCAATGACCACACAGAGTAAATACCTCTAATTAACGAATTTTGTCAACCAAAAACCTTTATATAACGTTTCCATCAATATAAAGGCCCTTAATCCCGTAGTACGTGATTCATGTCACGCCAGGAAACTATTTTTACAACTCTTTATAACAAATTTTATTATAAAGAGTATAATATAACAAACCTCAGTTTAAGGAATTACTTGATATAACGAATATTTACTTGTTCCCTTCTGATTTGTTATATCGAGGTTGCACTGTATATCTCAATTGAACTAAACCATACCGTGAGTACAAATTAATACAGCTCCATCTATGTGAAAAATAGAAAAAGCATTTAATATAAGGTAGCACATTGAACACCGGGTTCGAATCCCGGGGGGGGGCAGATGTTTGTGTGATGAATACGATAATTTCACTCCAGTCATGGATGTTTAATATAGTTATATATGTATTCTATCCGTTACCCTAGTATCCCATAACACAATCCTTACAGTGCTTACTTTGGGGCTAGACTCATTGATGTGGTGTTGGAAATATTTATTTATTTCCTTTATTAATTTATTGAAGTGAAAACTTCTTTAGCGGCCTTGTATACTTTTTTTGTATGGGTAAAAAATGTTAAACTCGCGTCAGGTTAAACACGTGTGCTGATCATACTATAAATTGTCATGTTTGTGTACGACAGCGCAATAAATAAATATTGCATTCTACCACATACATGATAGTACTTTTATACTGATAATTAAAGCAATTCGTGCAAAATTATTCCCTAACCATTCCAAAATATCAAAAATGCACAACGTTAATATTCAAGTTTTCACTTCTGCGAGCACTCCCGGAGTGCAACCCGTCGTTTTTTTTTATTAATTGCAATACTGACCTTGGCTCGCATTGTGCGTTCCGGAGCAGTAGAAGCCACGTCGACGCCTTGAGGCCATCCGCGCCCGACCAATTCCACCGTGAATCGCGTGTTCTGACTCACCTGCGATGACAAAATATACTCATCAAAAGACTCTAAGCAACATGTTGTACGGTTTTGAACGATTTTTACTATTGTAAATATTTATACTACATATAACCTTTTTTAAACAAAGTAGAAAAGTTAATATTTAAAAAAACAGCCAATTACATTTTCGAGAACAAAAAAGGCCGTATACTAATTAGGGAATGCAAAAACCGGTTTACCGGTTTTCATTAAAAAGACTGGTTTTCCGGTTTTTTCTTTTAAATACCTGTTAAATCGGTGTTTTGAGGACAAAAAGGCCGTTTACCAATTAGGGCATGCAAAAACCGGTTTTTCCGGTTTTCATTAAAACGACCGGTTTTCCTGGTTTCTTTTAAAAACCTGTTAAATCGGTGTTTTCGGTTTTTTCGGGTTTGTGTCAATAAAAGTCAATAAAAAAACAGTAAAAATGCGTATAAACTGGAACATTTCCACGTAGCATTTACCATGAAGTAGTCTGTAAAAAACGCATAGGCAACCAAAGTCCTTGCGCAGTTCTAAAGGCTCCAGATATTCGGCTAGCTTAGGATCCTCGACAATCTTAATCACACGTCTTCGTATAGAAATCAAATCCAATTGGCTCCCCGGATTGGTAATCGAGGAGATCCTTCTGGTATTTTAAAAACTTCAGTCCACAGACGTGAGCAGTACTCTTAGCACGAACCAATGTTGAATTTGTTACGTTTGTGAGAGCGAAATGTCATTGAGAAATTTCGAATGGAAACTTAAACAGCACGCCACAACGGACGTAACGAGAGTTAAAAATCAGTACACATTTAACGTGTATCTAGATCGAATATTCGAATTCGATAATGGTTCGTGCTAAGGATGCAGTACTCCATGTGGGGAATAATTTGCGCTGTGTTGAGCAGAAACCTTTGCTTAGACGTGACTGCTTCGAACGATTAAAAACTCCAAGCTTTTTTGGAGGCCAGTTTGGGCTTGCCCACTAATGGGTTTCTATACTGTACGTCGCACGTCATATCAACACCTGGTATCCCAACGTTAATGGAATAGGGTATTTACTAATGTTCATGGAGTCCGTAAAAACTGGATATTCATCATTCTGTTGTGTATTTCAGTAGAAATAACCTGGATTCTCTGGACAATATGGCGTCTTACTACTGTGTGACGTCACACGCCTGTTATTAAAACGTCAAACGATACAATGTAATGTCACTTTAACCGGAAGTTTACTTGCGTGTGACGTCATTTTAGGCTCCGCCAATCCCAAGTGTTTTGGGTCACGTGAGAATAGATAAGAAAACAATTATCTTTTTCGTTAGTTTTTAGTAAAACTATGAATACTTTTTTTGTAAAAATAGTAAAACCCCCTGCCATTATTCATTCTAAACACAGATTCTAGCAAGTGGCACTTTATTTTTAACACTGTCAAATACCCTTTTATACAGCGGGACTACTTGATATTACGATGTGGCAGCAATTGAGTCCTTTTTTGCAGTGAATGCGCAAACTTGTGACTTGCTAGGATTGAATGAGACGAGGTCCTGACTTCCACATTCGGAGACTCGCTCAAAAGAACCCTCCACTTCGAACATAATCTTAGTCCGCCATTCCGAAACGACAGCTGCAAGGATGTTTGGGTGGCCGGTATACTGCGCATTACATGTGCTGTTATCTGCATCGATATCGACTTTAATACTCCTGTCAAAGAAGTTGGGTATCCACTTGCAAAGCTTCTCAGGTATCCTGTAAGATGGTAACTTCAATAAAAGTGCTCTATGCAAGACCCTGTCAAACCAAATATCCAAGCTGACTGCAACGGCTTCACCGAGATAAACGAGAACCGAATATACCGAACCGAAATACCTGCAAAGTAGAGTGGCAGGTTATGGCTCTCCTCCTGTATGATTCAAATCAAATTTTGTTGTTATAATTTTTATTTTTTAAAGCATGTAACTGCTTGATCTTTAAATCTAAAGAAAATATAACTAGAAAAAATCCACGAGGACCAGGCAGCAGACGGGACTCGAACCCGCACCTATAATTGCTATTTCTTCTTTCAAATGTTTAATACTTGTAAAAGTATTCATTTGACATTGTGGGTTACCTATAATGCGAAGAGATGGCGCTGAATGCGAAGAATGTCGAGGCGGTCCGTGAGGGCCGCGGCAGCATAATTGGTCAGTGCATTCACCCGGATTGCGAAGGGTGCGGGTTCGAGTCCCGTCTGCTGCCTGGTCCGCGTGGATTTTTTTCTAGTTATATTTTCTTTAAATATTGTTGTCTTTAAATGTTTCAATATTTAGTTTTTAATCAAAATAAGGTTACTAAAGTACGGTCGCCGGGCAGAAATAATTTCGTACAATGACCCCACGCTACCTATCCTTATCGCTCGCGCGCAATTATGTTGCTGTCACGCTTGCACATGGTACGTGTGCAAGCGAGACAGCAACATAAGTGCTCGCGACCGATAAGGATGGGTAGCGTGGGGTAATGACCCCACGCTACCCATATAATAATTTCGTACAACTACTACTACTAATAATTTCGTACAATGGTATGAAATTATTTCTGCCCGGCAACCGTACTTTAAGAAATAACATAAATAAACAATCTTACCTCTTTCTTCGGTCCCTCTTTAGCGATGAATCCACCGGAGAAAACCCTCGGATGATCCAGCAAAAGCTTGGCAGTAAACTTCGTTCTGGTCATCACATACAACAGTATTCCGAAGAACATAAGCATCACTACGTGCAGTAAGCTCTTGAAGTACAGGTAAGCTTTGAATTGCACCGGGCGTTTGTTCTGAGTCTCGTAGAGGTTACGTTGAGTACGATAGACTATGGAGTTGTCCGCACCCATGAATGGTATGCACCAGCCGTTATTGTATCTGTGGATCGGTGACCTGGACAAAAAGGTTGTCTTGGTTGGTATTTAGCAAAATTGGGCTGCCATCTTGTTTGCAATGAGGGTGTTTAGGACAATTTACGTCACGAGTTGGAGCCACTGTGACAAGTTGGCTTTTGTATGGAGTTTTTGGCACGATCAATTCATAGACTATGACGAGTGATTTGACGGATGAGTAGATCTTTCGTCTCAGTGCTGCCACCTGGCATCCGTCAGCATTTAGCCCGTATTTAGCTAGAATGTATTGCCATCTTAGTTGGAAATTATCAACAATGCGAGTTTGTGGCTTGGGAATTTCCTCTACAACTTAATTACAAATCAAACTTTCGTTTAGGTATCTAAAGCAATAAAATAGTTATAAATGGCCAAATGGCCTTAATAAGAGACGTCATATAAATTTATTTTCATTTAAATTGACACGTTGCCTTTTTTGCTTTAATGACAAGGAAAGAGACAGAACTAACTTTAATCACAGTCAGACAAAACTTAAATCACATTGTGCGGTGTAATGTTTGTTTTTGAGCAGGGCGTGACACTGACACTCATATTACTGACACACGTAGGACAGCTGTTTTGTCTATGATAGCGAACCGCTTTATGTCAACGTAGCTGTCAAATTGCACTGGTTTTATAATATCAGTTAGTACAATATAATTATAACATTATCTTTATTGGAGTTTACTCCTTAAGAATCGATTTGCATATATAAGGGGCCCGGTATGAGAAAAATGTGAGGAGTAAAATCTATCGATGAATGACCTCGTTATGTTTGTGGTGCGCATCCTATGTCGCGCAACTTTGACAAACAAAGATGACGGATTGACATTAATAAAAATTTTAAAATCTGAACTGAATTTAGATATTGTTTCTGATAGAGCAATGGGGACAACGAGGTATGGTACAACCATTGATGCGGTATTTTCAAGATTCGTGAACCACGTATCTACGAACGTCCATGTGTCTTATTTTAGTTACCATAAACCACTTGTCACTGTAATTAATAATAATGCAGACAATGTTGATTCAATTAATATTTAAAAAAATGATAATAGTCTGATAATAATTACATAATTTATCAACATTCCTAATGATATATTTATGCACATCTGAAATTGACTATTGTAAAAAGTTTAATGTAAAATATTTCGTCGATTAGTTATAATAAATGTATATGAAATGAATAAATATATATTTATGTATGTATATTATTTTCATTAATTTGTTAATTTACCGTTTCATACAGTATCAATCTTTTTTAAGTTAAATAAACTCTTTTTGCGTCTGGTTAGACTATCAAACTTAAGGAGTAAACTCCAGTCGTGCGTCGGAGCTGACACATACAATTTTTTTTTGATTTCTTTCTTTGTTTCCCCTGTGCTCTGAGGTAGACTAGTGGAAGGAGACGAATACCATTACAGCGGCTGTAACATTTTATTTTTAATACAACGTTTAAACCAGAAAGAAAATATTTAAAACTTACCTCTTCTGCAGTTTAGGCTTGAAAGTGGGCATGCGTTCTGAATACAATTTCTTCCTGAGAGGGGCAAGCTCATCCCAGTGAATCAAACTGAAACAGGAAACGCAACGAATAAAATAGAATCCTACTTTCCTCATCTAACTAATATTATAAACGCGAAAGTGAGTATGTAACGCTTTCATACAAAAACCAATGAACGGATTTGGGTGAAATTAAGTATGCACATTGTTTGTAAGTAAAGTAATAAAGAAGAAAATAAAGTCAAATTAAGGAGGAGCTCGATGGCGCCAGTGGTTAGCGCGTTCGGCTGCGGTCATTGAAGTTGAGCAACTTTCGCAGTGGTCGGTCATTGGATGGGTGACCAAAAATTTACTATCTCGAGCTCCTCCGTGCTTCGGAAGGCACGTTAAGCCGTTGGTCCCGGCTGCATCTGCAGTCGTTAGCACCCACCAACCCGCACTGGGCCCGCGTGATGATCATGGCCCAATCTCCCTAACCCATCCATAGGGAAGGCCTGTGCCCCAGCAGTGGGGACATTAACAGGCCGATGATGATGATGATAGTTAGAGACATAGGATACTTTTTATTTCGGAAAAATTACGGTCTCTTGTTGAATTATCATAAAACTAAAGTTATCGCGGTCGAAGCCACCGGCCTCCGCTAGTAAATGAACAAATGAAAAATAAAATGAAAAAATACCTATGCACGAGTGATTCCCAAGTTCCATAGTTGATGTAGCCGTTTGCCTCTTTCTGGAACTCCGGCGGTAGCGATGAGCTCAGGTAAGATTCCACACTGTTTAAAGTTCCTGTTGATAACCAACATAATATTATCATGCTCTGCCTGCTCACGTGTTCCCTCCTTCTTACAACCTGGGATCCTTTAAAAGAGGCGTGAAGAAGAAACATGCAGGCCGGCAAGGTGAGGATGGCTGGAGTGGCAGGTAGAACTGCTGTACCAGCTATCTTCACTGGACTTCACCGTCACTTAACATCAGGTGGATCATTCGTGGGACCTATCTATAAAAAAAAAATATACCCGTCTGCTTCAAGTTGGCCGTTGATGACCATCAGAAAATGTGTGACAGGCCAATCACAGGCACAATAACTGCTACTGACCAAAAGGGTATTTGAGAAGTTTTAGCAAAAGATCTCACGTTATTTACTTACTAGCAAACCAATGAACCAAATATTAAACAAAACCCGATTTTAAAAAAAATATCATCATATCAGCCGTACGACGCCCACTGCTGGACATAGGCCTCCCCCAAGGATCTCCACAACGATCGGTCCTGCGCTGCCCGCATCCAGCGTTTTCCCGCGACCTTCACCAGATCGTCGGTCCACCTTGTAGCGGGCCTTCCCACTGAGCGTCGTCCGGCACGCGGTCGCCATTCGAGAACCTTTCCGCCCCAACGGCCATCGGTTCTCCTCGCTATGTGTCCCGCCCACTGCCACTTCAGCTGGGCTATTCTTCGAGCTATGTCGGTGACTTTAGTTCTCCTACGGATCTCGTCATTTCTGACTCTATCCCGCAGGGAAACACCAAGCATAGCTCTCTCCATTGCCCGCTGGGCGACCTTGAGCCGTCCTATGAGACCCATAGTAAACGACCACGCCTCACTGCCATAGGTCATCACTGGCAACACACACTGGTTAAAGACTTTCGTCTTAAGGCACTGAGGTATTTTGGACGCGAAGATGTTCCGCAGCTTCCCGAACGCTGCCCATCCGAGTTGAATTCGACGAGAGATCTCTTTCTCGAAGTTGGACTTACCTAACTGGATTGTGTGTCCTAGGTAAACGTAGTGGTCAACAACTTCAAGTGTAACGTTCCCAACATTAACTGGAGCGGGTGCAACATGGGCGTTGGACATGATTTTCGTCTTGCCCATGTTCATCTTAAGACCCACTCGCTGGGATGCGTCACTGAGATGCTCGAGCATGGTGTTCAGGTCTTCCAAGGTCTCCGCCATTAGGACTACGTCATCAGCAAATCGAAGGTGTGTCAGGTACTCGCCGTTGATGTTAATGCCGAGTCCTTTCCAGTCCAGAAGCTTAAAAATATCCTCCATCGCAGCAGTGAACAGTTTCGGAGATATAACGTCTCCCTGTCTCACCCCTCGCTGTAGTTGGATAGGATTAGAGCTCTGATTCTGTACTCGGACCGACATAGTGGCGTTTTGGTATAGGTACTTTAACACTTCGATATACCTGTAGTCCACTTGGCACCTCTGGAGAGACTGCAGCACCGCCCAGGTCTCGATCGAATCGAAGGCCTTCTCATAGTCCACAAACGCTAAGCAAAGTGGCCGATTATAGTCTTCGGTCTTCTGTATAATCTGCCGCAGCGTATGGATGTGGTCTATGGTACTAAAGCCTTTTCGGAAACCGGCTTGTTCAGGAGGCTGGAAGTCGTCGAGCCTGCGAGCGAGACGATTCGTAATGACCCTCGAAAACAGCTTGTAGATATGGCTCAGAAGCGAGATGGGTCTGTAGTTCTTCAGTAGGGTCTTATCGCCCTTTTTGAAGAACAAAATCACCTCGCTTCTGCTCCATGCCTTCGGCGTTTTGCCCTGGTGGATGATGGAGTTGAAGAGCTTCTGGAGGACTTTAAGTACCGGCGTACCGCCTGCTCTCAGAAGCTCTGTTGTGATTCCGTCATCTCCCGCCGCCTTGTTGTTTTTAAGCTGTTTGAGGGCAATTCTAATCTCGTACAGGCTGACGTCCGGGATATCCTCGGTATAATGTCGGGTAAGCTTGGCTCTAGGATCTCGAGCTCTGCTTTCGCCTGGTGTTCTGCTGGAATATAACTGCCTATAGAAACTCTCAATCTCCCTCAGGATTTCAGGGGTCGATGAAATGATACTACCGTCCTCAGTTTTCAGCCTCGTCAGTTGACTTTGCCCAATAGACAGATCTCTAGCGAACACTTTGGAGCCTTTGTTCCGCTCTATGGCCTCTTTAATACGCTCGGTATTAAAGTGGCGAAGGTCGCTCGTCAACGACTTCGAGATCTGTCTATTAAGCTGTCTATAACGAAGGGCATCCGCTGAGTCCTGTAGTCGCATTTCATGTCTCCTATCCATGAGTTCGAGTGTGTATGCGGAGAGTTTCTTTAATTTGGTGCGGCGGGTTTTAAAGTGTTGAGACCCTACCGTACGGACAGTATCCACCACCAGGTCGTTCAGATCGTCCACGTCTATGCTGTTCTCAAGGTACTCGAAGCGGTTCTTTAGCTCGAGCTGAAAGCGCTCGGGGTTTTGAATTTGGGCTGGCACCGGTCGGAGCGTTGATTTTATCAGTCGCGATCTTACAAGCTTAACGTTGATATTCAATGTGCCTCTTACCATGCGGTGATCGCTTCCTGTCTTAACAGCGTTGATCACTGAGACATCATTTAATATTTGCTTCTTCGTCAAATAAAATATGTATTTAATTAATTGAGAACTTCGGAGATTTTGTGTGGTTTCGTTAGAAATTCGTGATTTCTCGAAAACCGGAAGTGCTACGTTACTCAAATCCGGTTTGTAGTCTTATCAGACTATTCTTAACTTATAACTTAAATATTCTCTTTATCTATCTCTTACGGTTTGGCCGCTGAAACAGCACCACAGACAGACGGACGGATGGACTTGTCCAATAGATAAGAGATGTTTACTTAGTCCATCTTCTTCTTGGTCGCTATCTTCATTGCTGAAGGTCGTGTCTAACTTGAAATGTTGACCACCTGATGTACTATGCCTCTCCACGCATTCCTGTCCTCGGCAGTCTTTATAGCCTTGGTTATTGATAGGCCAGTGAGCGACTTTAGTAGGTCTGACCAGCGGGTAGGGGACCGACCGCATGATCTTCTCCCGTCGACCTGGCCAACCACCATCAGCTTCTCTAGGCTGTCAGGGTTTCTGCGAGCGATGTATCCGAAGTACTTTAGTATGCGCTGGTAACAGATAGTGGACAACCTTGTGGTGATGCCGAGTACCTCAAGTATGGACACGTTGGTCCGCCGTGCATGACACGTAGTCCATAAAAACTGGATATTCATAATTCTGTTGAGTATTACGGGAATTAAAAACAACTTAAATCCAAAATTGGCTGTTTAAGTTACCGCGAAATCGTTTCTCTGGGCATTATGGCGTCTCACTAGCATGTGACGTCACAGGCATGACATTAAAACGTCAAACGATACAATGTAATGTCACTTTGAGCGGAAGTTTTAGCGTGTGACGTCATTTTAGTCTTGTCCATTCCCAGGCGTCTTCGGCCGTGTAACAAAAAAATTTATTTTAGTAAAGTTGTTAATTATTTGTTTTCTCATAATAGTCAAATCGCTGCAAATACATGAAATACAGATGGAAACATGCACACACTCACAACTATGTAACATTATATCATTTGACGTCATAATGACAGTCGTGTAACCTTACATACCAGTTAGACGCCATACACATATTCAAGTTAGACGCCATACACACATACCAGTGAGACGCCATACACACATACCAGTGAGACGCCATACTGTCCAGAGAAACGGTTTTGCGGCAACTTGAGTATGGAATTTCTTATTTAGATTTTTTACTGAAATACACATAATACAGAATAATGAATATTCACTATTTATGGACTATTCTGAAATTTGTGAAATACCCTATTCGCCAGGTGTGTGTGACAGTGTAGTGACAGGAATTGGAAAAAAAAATACACGCGACTCACACATAGACAACTCTTAGACAACACCCACCTCCCGAGGCCCACGCACGAACTTTGACAGACTCGTAATCGCATCTTCATCGTCAAATTTTGTATGGAAGGAGCCAGTTTAGATTAGTAAAGATTACATAGTTGTCAAAGTTCGTGCTTGGGCCTCTGAATATATACGTTTATGAGTTACGTAACTCACCTTCGAAGTTTTGCTCCAGGTATATAACGCCCATGTCGTTGGGAACACTGTCGAGCCCGCACGCGCTTACAACGTAGACACCGGCGTCACGCGCTTGCTTGTCGTACTGGATTTGCATCAACTCTATGAACTACAAGATAAATATTATTGTTAATAAACTCATCATCAAACTTACTTCATCATCAGACTATAGATGTCCCCGCTGTTGGAGAACAAGCCTTCTACATTCATGAAATATGATTGTAGTAAACACGGGATTGGTGGAAGTTAACGACTGCAAATGCTATTGGGACCAACGGCTTAACGGCACATTCCGAAGCTCGGAGGAGCTCGAGATAATTATTTTTTGGTCAGCTTCGCCATGGCCGGTTTAACTTCTACTATCGCATGTCGAACGCGCTAACCACAAGTGTTATCGAGTCCTTCGTATAATTTACTTAGCTAGTTATTACAAGATAGATAGTAAATAAGAAATGTAAGGGCATATAATCATAATATTAGGAGACGTCAGTTTGTGTTCTTCACACCCATGTACTTAGCGCCAACGGGTTCCGCAGCTAGTCTAAAAATCTACCTCATTTGACGATTCAAAATCCGAACCGGTAAAAGACCATAATTTACCTGCGGTTCTCCGCTAACATCTACATGGTGAGCGCCACACTCAACAGCGGCCTTGACCACAGGCTCGCCGTACAGCCGGTAGGGTCCGCAGCAGTTCACTACCACGCGGGTCTGCGCGCACATCGCCTTCAGAGACTCGTAGTCGCCACAATCCGCGACTATCACCCTCACGCCGGACAGGTTGGCATCTGAAAGCGGTCATAAATAATTTAAATTTGGACCATGTTAACAAAAGAAATTGGAATTATAATGAGATTCAAATAAAAATAGGACCGACTGAGCGCCATATTGTGACGTCATATCTGTCAATACAAACCAAATAGGAAGAGTGAGCAAAAAAAAAGTTTTTATTTAATAAAACTTTATTTACTAAGATTAAGTGAGAAAAAACATCTGATTTATTTAATAATATTGAGAAAAAAAAACAACCGATTTATAATAATATTTATTTATTAAGACTGTATGAGAAAAAACGTGAATCAGAATCTAGCTCTTCAATTCCGCTCATCTCTGCATTACCGAGTAGTTATGAATAATCATGCACTATTTAATAATAGTGTGACCTAATGGTCACATACGAACATGCATCCTTTATGTAAACGAAAGTTGTAATCGAGTTCATGAACGCAACTTAAAGTGACATATGGTTGACGATTTAGGTTATCAACTAGTCATAGCCAAAGCTCAATAAATGAAAAAATAAAATATCAAACAATTTTAATTAACAAATTTGTTATTGTTTGTTTACAAATGTTTGGTTTTTATTCTAGAATTAGCTGAGTGCTAAAACAGGGTTCCAAGTTTTTTTTTGCAAACCGTACTTTTCAAACGACATTTGACAGATGGAGGTTGGCTTTCCTATTCTTATTTGAATCGCACTATATGTGGATTATTTGAGTCCTACCGCCAGTTCAGGACTTCGCTTAGCTAGAGAGAATAATTGGCTGATTAACTCCACAACATTAGAAACCGAAGGCGTTGGAATATAATTTATATAATATGACCCCGAGTAAAATGACTGAAAATTTTGATCAGTAGTGTCAGACATTTTTGACAGTGAAGTAGGTAGAACAATTTACATGGGAATATGAAATTGTTATATTTTTTTAAGCATGTACCCAGTGTTGCCACCTTGGATTTTTTTTAAGGCGCCAAGTCAAAGGTAAAATATCGCCAGATTTCAAAAATTTGGATTTAATAAAATAGACCAAAATCCGCTAAATTACAATTACATCCCAGACAACAAAAAACCCTAATTTAAATAAAAAAACCAGTGAATATGTATGAGATGCCAAAGAAATAACTATATCCCGCAGTCGTTCGAAATTAGTAAAATTTAGTTATTTAAAAAAAATGGCAATATTGTTTTTACTAACTTATAACTTTTCCGAGCGTTAACTTAGTAGTACTAGAGAATGTAATAAAACCAGATATGTATTTAGATTCATTATTTATAATCAAGAAATAAATCTTAAACAATATGTGAAATTTAAAATTCTATATTGTTAAATATTACATCTTCTATAACTTCATCGTTGTTCACAGAAGCCGACGCTTCTGTCAATGAAGCCGATGTCAAAGCTGAAGATGTTTAGTGGTGGTTGTAGTGGATTTGTTAAAGAGTATTTTGTATTTTTTAAATGATATCGTTCGATTGCCGGATAGAATTTGCATTTTTTGTTTGTATTTTTTTGTTTCAACATGTCTTCTCAAATTTACTTCTTTTGCTAATAATTCTGCTTTATAAAATGAACAAAACGCCTTCGCATAAAAAACCACTAAAAACACTAAAAAAAAATTTACCCGCTAGATAATGACAATATACCACTAGAACCCGTGAAAAAGCACCAGTTCTGGTGGAAAAACCACCAAGGTGGCAACACTGCATGTACCTGCCTGCTGATGCTAAAGAATATATTACTAGAAAAAAAAATCACGCGGACCAGTCAGCAGGCGGGACTCGAACTCGCACCCTTCCCTATCCGGGCGAATGCATTGACCATTATGCTACTGGGACCCTGATGGCCGTGTCGAATCCTTTCTAACCTTTCTTAAGCTGCAAGGAAGCGCCATCTCATCGCATTGTAGGTGACCCACAATGTCTGAAAATTGTTGTTTCTACTATCTTCCTCGCATTTTTTCTACATTTTCTCACTTTCCCTGAACTACGACAAACATTTCAAAAGCAAAATTCAGCCGTTCACGAGCTTTAGCGAGACAAACGAACAACAATTATTTTTTATATTTATAGACTAGTTGACCCCGCGTACTTCGTACGGATTTAAATAATTTGAAAGAAATGACGGCGCCTAGTCTACCGTACCAAAAGAGACGAACGTCAAATGTTTAAAAAAGAAAAAAAAGAACATAATATTTCCATATTTTCTAACCTTTTAAACCTTCCCTAGACCTCCACGAACATTTCAAGACCAAGATAAAATAAATCTGTTCAGCCGTTCTCGAGTTTTAGCGAGACTAACGAACAGCAATTGATTTTTATATATGTACTACTAGCTGACCCAGCGAACTTCGTACCGCCCTAAAAAATAGGGGTTGTCCAGCGGACAAAATTGTGAATCTAAACCATTCTCAGATCCCCTTGAACACACACAAAAAATTTCATCAAAATCGGTCCAGTCGTTTAAGAGAAGTTCAGTGACATACACACTCTCAGAAGAATTATATATATAAAGATATATATATATTAATTCCGTGATAGTGAGTATATTTAAAACATATTTTTCTGTTGTCTTTATGTAAAATTAGATATCTATCGTCAGCATCATTAAGTTGGTTTTTATCCTTGTGAAAAAAAACAAATGATGCTTTACAGTATCTACATGTATGTATGTATACTTACTATGTATATAACAGCAATGTGTAAATTTTTCGTAACGAAGTTTTTTTCTAAATAACCCGTGACCTATGTATGTACCCTGTGCAGACTTGCCTCGCTAGATAAAACATCAATGCAGATTCTTACTCTCAAAACATAATGATTGCTTAAGTCTCTACTTATTTAAGACAGCTGCACGGTTTTTGATGTAATTTGCATTGTAATTATAATTCTTTCTATTGTTATGTGTCGGGATGGGGTTCGAAATTATATGCCAGTTCACGCTTGACAGTACTTTATTCACCACACAGTTAGCACACAATGTTAATCACAATACACTCACTAAACACTGTACTTACTATACAAGTCTTTAAGTCAACTGTTATGGCTTTGAAACTAAACTGTCTCGCGCGCGGCGCCGATCGCGCTTATTTACGCCAATCGACGCATTCTAGAAAAATCCCATTAAATTAATAAATTAGCACCCGGGAGTGCGTAGTACCTAGGCTTGCCAGATGGCCGGGAAATCCACGATTGTCCCGGAATTTTGGATCTTGCTCGGTGTCCAGTAATTAGACCTTATTGTCCCGGATTCCGATAATGTGCTAGTTTCGTAACAAAATAAACTAATAAATCCGCGGTGTTCTGCAGAAAAATGTCTCCAGTATTTTCGCAATTGTATGACGAAAATGCTACTTGTATGACGGATTATTACTTGAAAAGAGTTAGAACGATTTGGCTGATTGTTTTTTGGTTGTGTTGGTAAACTCAAGAACAAGGTTTGTATGGAATATTTTTTTGGAAGATAAAACTAGAGACCACAACGTATTTTTTTGTTCAACTTGACTTTATTATTATTCTTGACGTTCTTACAAAACAACAGATGTCAATACCGACTTGAAAGTTTATGTACGGTTAAAGGCTAATTATGCAAGAGATATTGTTTGATGTGTGTTGTCGCGGGCGAGGACGCACCGCGCAGGGTTGCCAAAAGTATGAGAACTCTAACATTTGAGGTTTAGCAGTCTCTATACATGATACGAGGTAAATAGTAATCTCGTACACTGTGATATGAGATTTGAACAATGTTTGTGCCATGTACACAAACCAAACATATTATCAGAAAGTAAATAAATGTCCAGTCCACAAAGGATCGACTAAGTAAGTACAGCTTCATTATGCCATCACAAAGTGTACGAAATTTCTATTTACCTCGTATTATGTATAGAGACTGCATAAAATCTCAAACGTTAGAGTTCTCATACGTTTGGCAACCCTGCGCGGTGCGTTCTCGCACGCGTCAACACACATCGTGGGATCGCACCTTTAGGGAGACGATATAGATACAGAGATTGAATTTGCGTTTTCTTCTTTCTTTCTTCCCTTTGCTGTATATTATAGCTCTTTTCTAGTTAACTTCCACATTGTAACGATTCTATGCTTGCTGCATTCAGACCTGGTGGTAGGTCTACCGACTGAGCATTATCTTACTTCCGAAACGATGCACAATCAATTGATTTTTTTATCAATTATGGCAAATAAACATGTCGTTTATCATTACTGGCAAATGTCCGTCCGTTTTCCATTAATTTTCTGATATCTAAATTCAGTTCATTAATAAGACTGATGAGGGCATCAACTAAGCAACTTAGCATTTGCGGAAGTTAATTGTTGAAGACCTAGAAATGTTGAAGTTATTTCCTTGCGTTCTTCACTCAGATATTTTATAACTACTCCTGGCTGTTTTGTGACAGATACATCCGTGGATTCATCAATAATCAGGCTGTACGGATTTGTGCCAATATCTTTGACCAGCAGATCTTTAAAATATGGACTTAAAACTTCGGTTATAACATGGCTACATTTAGTACGATGCATCTTCATTTCTTTTGCTCCTCCTTTAACGCATTCACAACTAAAAATTTGTTTGCACAAATCCGTAAGGTGGTCAACACTGTTGATGGAGGAGTGTTCTTCAATATATAAGCTAAGATAAGTTTCAGACTTACTGGCACTTGCGGTATCTTCTTTACTTACAACTATTTTTGTTTGTGAGGACGATATGAAAGGAGATGAACTGTCCTTGTGTTTTTTTGTTTCTTTGTGTCGTTGGATATCGAATAACTTCGCATTTATCTCGATTTTGCAATATAAACATAAAGCTTTCGACGAATTTCCTGGCACTGGTTTTATCCACTTAAATTCCACTTCCCACTCTTTTTTATAATGTTGTTTGTAAACAGTCTCTTTTTTTATTGGTAGATTCGACATTTTTTATTTTCTTAAATACTGAACTTTCAAAACATTCACACACCATATGTATTAAAACCGTTAGTTAAAAGTTCACTCGCTCGATTATTTCAACAAGTTACAAAAACAAATGTTCGCTTCGCTCTCATTGCCTTAGTGATATTATAATACTGCGAAAAAAACAGTCTCTTAAATAAGATTACGATGAACAAATTGTAACTACATCCTAAATTAGGCGGTTTATATTTAGAAACAAACCTGGGGAATTCCCCAGCAAAGAAGCAGAAACAGTATGTAGGGTTACCAATGTTACCATAGCAAAACTAAAAATATACCCAATTAGTAAAGTAATATACCCAATTAATAAAGTGTGAACTGACGAAATCTATACTACATGACGCGCATTGTTTCATAACTTTGTAATCGCGGTGCAAAGTCTTCGTCTCGCTTGAAAAGGGCTAGATTGCTCTTTTCGGGCTAAATCATGAAAAAACGAGTTTGCCTACAGTAAAAAGTGCTAGATCTAGCCCGAAAAAGCTAAGGTGGCAACACTGGTTTTGTTGGGTGAAATCCGCCGGCCAAACGGTTGTAATCCACGCGCTCCAATCGCGGATGTTAACACGCGCCCGTAATCCAAGGACGTTGAAGGGCAAATCAAAATTTGGATTACATCCTTCGTCTAGATGGATGGCAACGGGCAAGGTCACCTTGGTTGGTACGTTGGATTACATCCGTCTGGCATAGGTCTTAGTATTACAAAAAATGTAAACGGACTCCCAAGGTTAACGCGATAGGAATAGAACAACTCGATACAAATTACTATCGGCCGTGTTGCTTTACCTACATAGGTATATCCTTTTAGGAAGTTAACGAGGTTTACAGCACTAAGCATAATTAACGTAACTCTCTACCAGACAGAATCAATAAAACGAATAACATACATGTTACATAAAACGGTACATATATTTATAAACAAATTTAAACTTTTCCGATGAACTGTCTGCTTGTTGACCTTCAAATACTATAAAAATATAATTTATGGTGGTACTATATTGGGCCATAAGTGATTGCAGGGTCATGGTCGTACGTGTTTCGCATTCATCTTCAAGATGAATATAGGAAACTTCTAAAGCGTGATACGTAAGAAGCTGTGTTTTAACCACTTCTTTCTCATCCATAGGGCATTCTGACCGCAACCAGGTAGAGCGTAGCCACCACAGCAGTAACACAAAATAGACATCCGTATTATGCAGCAGTAGAGACATGAGAATGAGAAGGCTTATTGTTTGATATTGAATAATGTCCAATTTGGTTTGTCCAACATGTTGTTCGACAATGCAAACTCAACGACAATATGTACATGTGTTTGTAAGTATAAATATTTTGAAGTGCAACTGATAGTAACAGCATCATCCCAATAAAATCGTAGGTATGCACTGTTACCAAAACACCGTTGTATCCAAAAGAATTAAACTTTAATAATAAATAATCTTTTTTAACAGATAACGTTATCGTAAATAAGTCTTAAGTGTTTATTTCGTGTAACAACGTGATTACAAAAGGCATAGTTTTTACCTAGTCTCACCGGATAAGGGACCTTTGACTTTGACCATTGAATTACAATGTCATTTTTTAGGAACGTGTGTTTATTACAAAGATTACGTATTTACGATTACGATTCACGTTTATTAACTATTGAACTCATCTCAATTACAGACTTTTAGGGCCTATAAAATGACGAAACTTGTATATCTCGAGAGCTCCTCCGTGCTTCGGAAGGCATGTTACAGCGTTGGTAACATGCCTTCCGAAGCACTTAGTGTACCCACAAATCCTCACTAGATGCGCATGACCACTATTTTTCCATAGGGAAGCTCCCAGCAGTGGGACATTGATTGGCTGATAATAATGATTACTATTATCTGAATATATGAATAAAAGACACAAAATGGATCATATTTTACGAGTATAATATTATTTTTTACTGGTCACACAACAGTCATTTACGATCGGCACGGGACGGCCGGAAGGCGACAAATGTGTTTCGTGTAGGTCCGCCCCAGTAAGGGGAGAGGGACTATAGGGACAAAGGAAGGAGTCATATAAAGAATAATTTGTAGGGAGTTAAGAAACTAAGCGCGGTGGAGGCAGACCCCTCTTTCCCAGTGAGCACTTTGGGCAAGAGCCCAGGGCCCCGCGATCGATAGGGGACCACTTCAGATAAAAAACAAAGTCCCTAGTCCTGTTAGATCACCAAACGGGGGTAATACGGGACCCAATATCCTAATATGCCCAGGGCCTTCAATAGGTAAAAGACGTCACTGGGAGGCCATTCCGCGCGTACAAGTCGCGGCACGTAACTCTAGCGCTGATCAAAACGCTGGGGGTAGAGCTGCGCATGTGTACGACTGGAGTAGGGTTGCCACCTTTTTTAAGTCCAAATAAAGTACATTGGATATGAAAGGTAGAAAAAAAAGTACATTGTGTCCAAAATAAAGTACATTTTAATCCACTTTATTAGTAAGCTTAAAATATATTTTACGGTGCTTATAGCAATATTTAATAAATAATTTGTGGCTACTAAAAATCTGTAGTTCTTATCCGCAATGGGTAAGACCATTGTACAAAGCCATACAGCCGCGACAATGTTGCAGGAATGGGCTAAGGGCGACATATTATACATACTGTTGTTCCGTTTTACGCAAAAAATCTTCCTATCCTCTTTATTTATATTATATGTAAAATTAATTCCCAAGTAATCAAATCACATTAAATAAAGTATTTTCGCGTACTTTATTGTTGGCATAAAGTATAGAGTACAATTACCCGAAATAACGTACAATACTTTATAATAAAGTACTGGTGGCAACCCTAGACTGGAGAGCCAATCGGCGCAACGCACGCCCACCCGCGCACCTCGTTTCCCCCCAAGAGATCTTAATTTTTACTTCTGTGCAATAACGGTCAGCGCTAGAGTTTCGTGCCGCGACTTATATATATCTCCCGCTGCTTCGGCATGCATAACCAAGGTCATTCGACAGGCCATGGGTTGTTGGTGGGATTTGGCCACACATCAACTAAGGGAATTGATTAAAAGTATTAGTTTTACTTCATTATAGACCAGGTTATCCTGTCCTTATCCTTGCAACAGTGCCGAAATATCATCAGAAACTCGCTAAAAACAAGGTACATGGTCCCGATAATAACATTTATTACTATAATGTTAGTGATCATGAAAGTTTAAAACAATTAACTGTTTATGATCGAATCTTATAAATATTATTAAAGGATGAATTCTAATGTACTTTACGCAGCAATATTAAAAACACAGGAAAGGGCTTTGTTAAGATTATAGAAGCATTTAGATTTAGTTTTTAGTTTGGGTTCAGATTATCAAGGACCTACTGTTAATAACAGTTTAAGCAACATTGCCAAAATAGTTTTTTTTAATTTAATTTTTTATAGCCTTTATTCAGAGATCAACAAATGGCCAAATTATCATATTTTATCAAAATTATAATAATTTTATAAATAAAACAAAGAGTTACAGAACAAATACCACTTACCAGTTTTTTTAGATATTTCCTGCAATACCTCCTCCAGTTTCTTCTTGGAGCGGCCTGCTATACCCCAGCTGCGACCCGAGAACTCCTTCATTCCACGGGCAAGGTGCTCTACCGCATGTTTACCCGTGAAGCCCGTAGCACCAAAGATCACCAAGTCCAATTTAGACATCTGATTCAAACAGATTAAATAATGGTTATACCAATTGTATCATTAAGTTGTTTCCATGATATTATGATCCCCTCATCCTATTCCAGAAACTTTCTACTGACACCAACGAATATATATTGAAACAAGAGTGATATAATCAACTAAAGCTTAATTATACTGTCCTCTGAATCTTTCATTTAGAGGTTGTGTACATATAAAGACCTCTGAAGTCCTATAAAATCCTCTGAGGAGCTCGATGGCACGGGTGGTTAGTGTGTTCAGCTGCAATTGTTGAAGTTAAGCAACTTTTGTAGTAGTCGGTCATTGGTTGAGTGACCAAAAATCTTTTATTTCGAGTTCCTCCATGCTACGGAAGGCACGTTTAGCCATTGGTCCTGGCTGTACATACTAACTATATATATAACACTAACTATACATACAACCATACTTATATAATTATTTTATAAATATACACACAAACACATATAAATTTAGCACTTTCAAGTTAATAAAACATTTATTGGTTAACTGGTAAGTTTCATAGCATACAGTACAATTTGTACAATCAGGAACTACTATTTAGCTAAATAATAATCTTGCCATAAATATTTCAATGTTTCAACATTGGTTAAGTCATTGCAAGAATAGAAAAAAAATATTAAAAAATAAAAAGGGAATTGGTGCTTTAATTGAACTCCTCAATCAGATATGAAAAAAAAAACAATTTATATAGCTGTCCCAACCTAAAGCAATATTTTCTACTAGAATCGTATTTTTAATGAAAATCTTACTGTCTGCTAACCGGTTTGAAATTATGACGAAATCAAATCAATCCGAAATAGTTTTTCTTCATTCTACTAGACATTGAAGAAGAATTGGGTAGGTACAGAGATAAATTATAGTAATGATCAAATAAATGATAATTAAGGTTTAGAATAATTTTCTCTAAGTATAAACATAGTTATCAAGGTGTGGTGAGAAAAAACCGGCCGGTAGGTACGTAATTAAGTTCAACGTGAATTTTGTTAAAAATATGGTTATTTTACCTTAAATTGTTGTTGTAATGTCTTCAGTGAAGTCTGTTGCTAATCAATTTAACTTATTTAATAAGTAAAAAAATCTTGAATCCAATATGTACACAACACCAGATAAAAAGTATTTCTCGCAAAACTCTTCTTCATAACACTTCACGGAACTGACAGTGGCAGATGACATTAAAAAAAATTCAAAGTCATGTGTCTGTCAATATGACGCTGCTAGTGTTGAACGTTTGTTCAGATAACGTCAAATAAAAATGAACAGTTCTTTTTAAAAAATTGTATGTTTTGCAACTGTTTTTAAACAACGGAGAGGAATTACTGATTTTAATCTAAAATAAAATCTAAAGTAAATTCATTATATTATAAACCCCACTTGTAGCAAATTTGTAAACTACCGCAAACTTCAATGTGTCAACATAAGCTGAGGTAGGGTCCTGTTTGGCCATCTTAGATTATTATTTTCTTTTTAACTCGCTTTTATTAGGTCGACCTGTATGTAACTAACAACATAATTATATAATGGAATCTAAGAATCTGAATTACACGCACTTCTAATTATTGTATCATCATGAAACTTGGCAATTATAAGATTAGATGACAATACAATATTATAGTACCGTCGAACTGGTCTGATGATGTTACTGGAAGGTGGCTGATGGACCCTGGACTGCTTTCTAGTAAACATATCGAGTTTGGACTCATTACATTAGTCTTAATATTTATATAAACTCCTTGTATGTTTGGTAATAAACTAAAAAGTTATTTTCAAATTCAAATTCAAACTCATTTATTCAGTCTAGGCTGTTACAAGCTCTTGTGAAAGTCAAACGCTACGCCATCGGTTCGTAAATCTACGGCGGGAGACCTTGTACTGAGAAGAACCGGCAATAAACTCAGCAAGGGCTATTTTTTTCTCACTGTTTTGTTTCATACAGTGTCGTCAATTGAAAGATGACATCAAAATTTGAATACATGTGTTGATGTCAACTTCCATCACAATAATATTATTAATTAACAAAAGTTAAGTATAGCTAGGTACTACTTTTAAATTTAGAAGTGGCGATTAAACAATTTTCAACCAACTCAGCAAATTAAAACGACTTAGTCTGTTATATTAAGCCCAAGGTGACTTATCATTTATGAAATCTTTAACAGTATAGTAACCTTTCTTAAGGAGACATGTTTTTATAGACACTTTAAACTTATTGAAAGGTAAATTAATTATTTCTTTTGGTATTTTATTATAGTAACATATGCCTTGATCCACAAATGAACCAAGAACCTTTTGGAGTCTCAACAGTGGCAATTTGAGTTTATCTTTATTTCTGGTATTGAAATTATGTACATCATCGCGCCTCGTATATAAATTTATGTTCTGACGCACAAACAATATACAATTTGTTTCTTAGGTTTTCACGCACATCACTCATTAAATAAAACTAGTTTTTACGGGTAATGCACGAAACTTTATTTATTTATTGACGTTTCGCAGCCTTTTCAAAAGGATTTCGTGCATTAACCCGTAAAAACGAGTTTTATTTAATATACAATTGTAAATGTATTGAGAGGCAACAGTCATTATACCTATTTCTTTAAATTTATCCCTAAGAGAAGTTCTAGATCCCAAGCAATAAATAGCTCTTATAGCTCGTTTTTGAAGAATAAAAACTGTTTCAATGTCAGCGGCCGTGCCCCATAATAGAATGCCATACGACATAATGTTTAGTTAATTTTTGTTCGATAGGTTGTTTTCTTGTATTTTTTATATTGTTGTATTCATAAGTTTTTCTTCTCTCAAGATGGCCAATAAAGTTTCAGTAAATTTTATTTCAATACTATAAAAAAAAAAATGTTCATAATTATGAAGTTGTTACAATTATCTATTGCGGTAATCCCTAAGTTTTTTAAGTAAATAATAATATTGAACGATAATATTTTTTAAATAACGGTTTTTATTTTATAGTGTTATATTAAACTCAGTGCAGCACTATTAAAATGTCAATTTAGTTAGTACCTTTAAACGTCACTATAAAGCGGAATCTTCCAGTTGTAGTTTGTTTTAACTTTTATTATGTTTCCGTAAAAGTACTAGATGGCGTCACGTTAGCCACGGCCACGTTTTTTCAATATTCGTCGGAAAAAAACGGAACAGGATGACTTTGTAGTCCGTCTGTCTGTCACGACACTTTATCTCGAGAACACGTCGAGGGATCCTGTTGCAATTATACTTCCTTATAATGAACCATAATTATACTTAGTTAAAACTTCAAGTATATGGTCTCGTGAAGCTGTGAAAAAATCAGAAAGTTAATCTGAAAATAAAACCGGCCAAGTGCGTGTCGTGCCACGCGCATTGTAGGGTTCGGTAGTTGCCTGTAGTTACCACAATAAATTTGAGTAGGAGACTTTATTTTCTTAATCGGAACTAAGAAAAACCAATCAATCTATGTATCTCAACTAAAATACCTAAATCAAAGTCACACTGCGTCTCAATCTTAAAAACAGTACTAGTAGTTAACAATCTTAAAAACAATTCGATATATTTTTTTTAAATACGAAAATACGAATGATAACCGCCAACTTTTTTTCTTTCCTCCCAGGCGGGGGAGCGCTTGTGAAATCCTCATGGAAACCCTACAGCCAGCTGCAAGGTTATGTCAGACTCTTAGGGTACGGCCAGAGTGCACTCAGATTCAGATTCAGATTCAGACTCAGAAAACAAGCGCGAGAAATATACAGTGTAGTCTAAGCAGGTTGCCTGCTGGCACTATGGCCACCCTGCTTTAACTATACATTGTTCGCGCTTGTTTTCTGAGTCTGAATCTGAATCTGAATCTGAGTGCATTCTGGCCGTACCCTTACTGACTAAAACACACCTGTAGTTCATGCTTAAGGCCAGAAGGGCCCTGACAAGCTTTATCTGAAGCAATCATCCCCTGAGAAGGGGATGATGTGTTTTAACCGGTAGAAAGATAACCGGGGAGATAATCTTTTTAAGTGCTTGTATACTTTTTATAAAAACGTAACGCTAGCATGACTCAGAAGCCGTTGCCTTTGGTACTCGCGGTAGCGTTGTGGAACCAATGATATTTTGTTGTGGTTTTGAATTAGATTTTTTTGAGATAAGCTATTTGCGTAGACCTTTTTTTAATTGATTAATGTTTAATTACATTAGGTCATTGGGTATATTATTAATGATTTTCACACACATGTTAATACAGTTTTTGTTTAACTGCATAGTTTTTGGTATTTCTTGTAGTACTAATCTATTGGGAACTCGTGTGTTTCTGGGGTAAACCTCACATGCTTTCCTAAAAGCGCCTACTGACATGCCTGCCGCAGGGACAATCTAGGGTGTATGGTGGTCGGGGCAATATCGGCTTGGCTTGTCGACAAACATGCCTGCTATTCAGTGTTCGGGCGTATGTTGAGCTAAACACACGCGTTGATGATGGTCCCAGTGTTATCAAAAAATATGTTACCGTAAAAAAGGAAATACTGGGTGAAGAATTGGCAACAGAAAGAACTGTATTGTAAATAAGTAATGTTTATGTTATTAGAAAAAAATCCACGCGGACCTGGCATCAGACCGGACTCGAACCCACACCCTTCGCTATCCGGGCGAATGCACTGATCAATAATGCTACCGCGGCCCTGACGGCCGTATCAAATTCTTTCTAGCCTTTCTTATGCTGCAAGGCAGCGCCATTTCTGCGCATTATAATACCCACAATGTCAAATGAATACCTTTACAAGTATTAAACATTTAAAAGAAGAAATAGCAATTAAAGTCATAATTTTAATTTTTTAAGTATGTAACTGCTCAATGTTTGAATCTTAAGAAAATATTACAAGAAAAAAAAAAAACTATTTCTATTTTTCTAGTAATATTTTCTTAAGATTTAAACATTGAGCAGTCACATACCTAAAAAATTAAAATTAATTAAAAAAAATATATAAATAATGTTCGTTTTTTTTTATCCCCCATGTGGGGCCGGTCTTTATATACTTTGATCACTCGTGTCCAAACTTTATGCTCATTATGATCTGCCGCCATCTTGATCAAAATACGTGCGCTGCGTGTGACAGCTACTAACTGACTGATTGAGAAATTGCCCCAATCGCGCTACACACGCGGCAACGTGCAGGCCGTAGGCCCGATTTAGAAAATTGCTCCAACTTGCCTCAGGGGGCAATTAAGGGTCATCCCCACTCTTACACCCTAGATTGTCCCTGCGGCAGGCATGTCAGTAGGCGCTTTAAATAGTGACCTATTTTGCTACCATGATACTTGTTCTGAAAAGCATCGATGGATGGATGGATTCTCTTTAGTTATACACTGTGAATGACAAAAAATTGGCGAATAGGCCAGCTGATCTGGGACATTCGTGACGTGACTAGTCATTAAAAATTCTGCCTAATAACATACATAGTAGGTAGGGGTGAGGAGTTCGATGGTGCAAATGGTTAGCGCGTTCGGCTGCGATCGTTGAAGTTAAGCAACTTTTGCAGTGGTCAGTGGTTTGGGTGACTAAAAATTTACTATCTCGAGCTCCTCCGTGCTTTGGAAGGCACGTTAAGTTGGTCCCAGCTGTATCAGTCTGCAGTCGGTAGCACCACTTAGTACCTACCAATACGTACTGGGCTCGCGTGGTGTGTCATGGCCCAATCTCCCTATTCCATCCATAAGGAAGGCCTGTGCCCCAGCTGTGGGGACATTAATAGGTTGCTGATGATGATGATGATGATGATGATGAAGCTAGGGGTTACTTATTTATTTTTCTCAAACATGCTTGATCTACTCTAATATAATGGGTCAGGAATCAATTTGTTAGATATTACTATAAAATTACAATGGTAATGTCAGAAGATTAGTCCAAGAAGTAAGTACCTACTGCGTATTTTACCATATCAAAATATGCATATGGGCCATTATACGAGGAGCTCGATGGCGCATGTGGTAAGTCCGTTCGACCTACGATCATGGAATCCAAGCAACTTTTGTAATTGTAAAATCAGTTGTTTTTTTCAAGAAATAAAAACAAGAAAAGCTTACTTTGCTTAGCTCCCAATGTGGCTTTCGCTCAAGGGCCGATTCAGCTTTGGCGCCAGGGGGCGGGGGGGGGGGGGGGGGGGTCATATAGTCGTGGTCAAGTCACAGTGGATACAGATTGTGAAGTGGGTACAGATGGACCCAGCCCAGGGGTGGGTCATGACCCTCATGACCCCACCCCCCTCTGGATCCGCCCTTGCTTTCGCTTAATGAAGGCGTAGTTTTTTGTTAATGTCCAATTTAAACTTGCTCTATATAATTCGTTTTTAATAGACCAAACAGAGAAATTATGACCCGCCCTGGGCTGTGCACGCCAACTGTATATAAATTCGAGAAGTGATCACAATGAAAAAAAGCAAAATATAAACTTGAAACAAAATAAAAGGAGGCAAACTACGACGACGCGCGCTTACATTACGAAAACGTAATATGTATCCATAATTCAAACAGAATCTTAATTTAAGCAGAGAGGTAGGGCATAGCGGGTTTTCCGCTCGAATTGGAACACCCGTTTGGAGAAGCTACCTTCACCTTACAGAAGACCACAGCCACGGTAATATTATCTATACAGTATTGTGACACGGCCCCAAGTGTTGCCAGGTCTCCAGATTTTACAGGAGATCTCCTGTTTTTCAGAAATTTCTCCTGTTCTACTGTTTTTCTACATGAATCTCCTGTTTTTTTTGAATACGATTTTCTTTTTTAAATTGCATGTTGAGTTGCATTGTTCGTCATGTTTTTGTTTCCATACATCTACTGTTTTTTTCTATAACGCCTCCCGATTTTTGAAAATCGGACCTGGCAACACTGCACGGCCCTGTCCTTGAAATAACTGCCTACGGCCGAGCGGGGCGTAAACACGCGGTAGGGCTGCTCGTCTACAGTATTTTAATTTCATCTACATAATTGAGTTTCTTTCTAGGTTTGTGATTGTAAATATTTTATGTCATATGTAAGTATGGATTTAAGACAGAAAATTATTTACGCCTCGATTAAGACGTACGAAAAGCTTTATTATTAAATTTAAATAGTATATTAAATACGCATTCGTACAACAAGTTTAATTATTGAAGAGTTCAAGCAACCAACACAATATCGATATGCAACAAAACAGCACAATATCGACTTTTGCTCTTTGCCATATTAAATTATGTAGGTATCTACTTAATTCAATCAAATATTCGGGTCATTCTATTCTACTGCTAAAAAAGTGTGCAGTCAAAAGAATTACATAGATAAATTAACATCCTGGTAGATTTTTTCATTATCATAACTGAAAACGATGTTCCTTATCATTTGTTTATCTAATAAACGGTATTAAATTAAAAATAATTCTTAAAAAGAAAATTAAAAGTGCGTAACTATATCATGTTCTGTTATCTGTGTATTTCACATGTTACCACATTAGGGTAACCAAGAAAAATATAATGTGTGTGTTTAGGATGTTGTTAATATCGCAAATATTGTATTAATATAATCTAGTTTATGATATTACCAACAATATATAGGTTAGTGTAATCTTACAATACATTTTACGCGATTCTACTCTTGTTACAATTTTCAAATCATTTCTGTGATCCAAGAGTATTTTGTAATGAAACGCTAGTAACATTCTTCTTATAGGTAAATTTTGTATGCAGTGACAACACTACGTTACCAGTAATTTACGGAACGGCTTCAAAGTAAAAAGTACTAGCGTTAGTTTTGTGATAAAAACCATTTTGTTAGTAATTATTACTGTGTAAAAGTTGATGTATCATCTCTGTTGAGGCTGCAGAAAGGTAAGTTTCTCAAAATCAAAAACAACAATATGCGGGCGGAATTTATTTCATTCTTTGTTTTAATATACCTAGAAGTCAACTAGTTTACTCTTAACTTTGAATCCAACGAAGCGGGTATTTCAAAATTTTACCATATCTGTGATCGTCACGTTCTGTTTTCATAGCGATAACAGAAATGACATAAAATAACAGAAATGATAATATTTCTTTTATATTCCTTATGTTCAACTCTGGCTGCTCATTGGCTCACTGGCTATTAATCAATACACAAATAAAAATGATAATATTATTATTCCCTTTGTTTTCTTCACAAAAAGTTAACTTTTATAGAAAGACATTTCTATAACAGAAGTGATTGTGGGATCACTGAATTTTTACAGTTTTATTGTTAGCTGCAGTATGAATCGTCGCACATAGTGAGTGTACAGTTACAGATGCCGATTCATGTCATTCGTCACCAGAACGCAGTTCTCCTGCAATATATTCATTTACAGTACAGCAAAGAGTTAGCGATACTGCTGATTCTGATTGTGATTCCAATCTATCTAGGCACTTCCATCAGTCCCCACAGAAAAGTGTCTATACTACAAATGCCGATGGTGACAATCTGACATGGTTTGATGATTCAGATCATTTTAATCAACCTGTAACGGTAGCAGTTTTATCAGAACGAAGCAGATACTTGTAGTACAAATCATGCTCTTCAGATGACAGTTTCGATAAAGACTTAAAGAGGAAAAAAATTATAGATGCAGCAATAAATGCTTCAACATTTGAGAAAAACAAAACAAAATTCATTTATGACGACCTCCGTGGTCGAGTGGTTTGTATGCCAGGTTTCATGGTGTCGCCGACTCGAGAGGTCCCAGGTTCAAATCCGGGTGGAGGCAGATGTTGCTGTGATGAATACGAGCATTTGTACTCCTGTCATGGATGTTTAATATGTATATCTATAAAAATATACTTATATATGTACAGTACATGTATTCTATCCGTTAACCTAGTATCACATAACACAAGCCTTATAGTGCTTACTTTGGGGTTAGGCTAATTGGTGTGTGTTGGAAATATTTATTTATTTTTATTTATTCATAGGGAT